AACACAGAGTAGTTCTGACCTGGATGCAGGGCTCATATGTCATCACTTAACAACCAAATAGTGAAAAGGGTTGATTCATGTATGCAGTACATGTTTGCAGCTATTGCAGAAGTGTCATAAACTTGCAAGCATCTTTGGCTGCAAAAAGAAGCCCATTTGTATAGAATCCTCCTAGAAAATGATCAATGAAGTTGATCAATGACTTCAGTAAACACCTTACCTGTGACTCAGTATCTGGGATTGTGTCTTACATTTATTAAATTATGGTACCATTAACATAAACAATTACATCCAAGCAAAGTAAACCATGATATAGACCTACTTTCTCACTGTCAAGCTGCTACTGTATGACTGAGCCATATCCACTGGCTTCTCAGGTCAGGTATGGTCTTAAAACAAACACCAACCTGGTGATGTCATAGTGGCTCTTTTTTCATCTTTTATTTACAGTCTGAGGGTGGCAAACGTAGCCGAACAAGGGAATGCAAATGTTGCCTTTGTTGCACTTATATATTGTTTTCTTACATCATCTTGTATTTTTCAATACCTTTAAATTGACCCAAAAATGTCTTTGTTAGTACCAAATAACTATCCTGGTCTGTCTGTTTTTATGCAAACCCTTTCTTTTCACAATAAAGACATAAATCTATAAAATGTTATTTCAGAAGGATCGCACGTTTCCCGAGACAGATGGCTGCTGTGGGTTTTAGGAAGTCTTATCCAGATCGACTGCTGTCTGACTGAGCTACATTTAGTGCTCCAATAAATTCATGAACACATGATAAATCTGGATGCGCATCAAAGTGTGCGGCAGATCTCAGCGTTGTTGGAAGAGATTATGACAACACAGTCAACGTGTTTGCCGACCACTGTGGCCAGGAGTGGCTCCATTAGACGTTTGGTTGATGCAATTTATTGATGAAATTTCTGTCGGATGATGAAAGTCTCACTTCAACCATGCTGTTTGAGCTTTAAAGATTTCATTCAGCGCTTATCCGACAAACAAACGGAGGAACACTTACTGCCTCGGATTACATCGATACAATTGATTTTTTCCCTTCATTTTCATCTCTCTATTGAGACAGCCATTGATTTTGTTTTTTTTACTCACTTCATTTCAGAAAAGGAACAGGATTATAATTACAGCAGCTCGTCTGTGTCTGAAGACTCAAAACAAACCATCGTTTACCCAAAACGATTGTTTGGCTGAACAAGTTTATTATGCGTTTACACTCTCAGACTGTACATATCTGATTGTATCTGTCAACTGCTTTCTGCACGTTCACACTTGTGTTTTGTAATTGACTCAAACATTGTCAGTAGAAAAAGATTCTTGGCAGACTTTACTTTTTTACGCTTGAAAGACAATCGTTTTGAATAATTCATGAGTGTACTGTTTTTCTCCTGAATCTGTTGCAGCTTGCTCCGAACTGTCACGCCAGATTTTAATTGTTCTGAAGCCTCCCCAGACTTATAGAGAGAACACAAAGAGGTTTGACCTTAACGGGGCGATCTTTTTACCATTTACCATCAAAACATCTGAATTTTTTTCTAAAGCATTTTTCTCGTAGGGGTTTGTAGGACAGCTGAAAATTCACATCACACCAATTCCCACAAGAGGCTCCTCTTTTTCACAGTTTCTCTTTTACTGCAGTACATACCAGTTAAGGTCAACAGTCTTTTATCAGGCAACCCATAAATCCAGTGAGAGGCATGTATTTAAGAATTTCTTACACTCAAATCAATACATGCGATTGTGAATGATTCTCCCAAAGCCAGAAGCCACAGAGCGAGGACTCAAAAATGTGATATCATCAGGTATACAGCCAGGAGCTGCTCCACAGAAAGTGAATTAAAAAAGATAGCAGAGTTGAATGGTGGAGCTTGCAGTGTCATTTTCTGGTAATGTATCTGACAAGTCAACAAAAAAGTAACAGGAAATAAAACCTGTAAAACAAAACACAGCAGCAGTGGGGTTTACAAAGTCTTTCATTTGTTTCCCACTCTGTAGTTTGAAGATTTATGCTTTACATGTGGAACCACTGCCAAATATTTTTGATACAATCTTACAATATAGCATTAATATAGAGGTGACAGTTGGGATAGTAACGATCATATCTCTTTGATCTCAGCTCTTTACAGCTCCTCATAATCCAGAGAATAAATACTGAAGCCTGACTGATATATCTGCAGCTGATACTGACCAACAGATACTATCTGATACACACCAGTATGAACTTGTAACATACTGCAGAAAAGATGACTGTAGTATTTTAGAAACTGTTTTATCGCCTAGTTTTCCAGCAGAGATGCATCAACTCCACTAATGACAATATTCTAACCACTGTCTGCAGCACGTGAAGCAGATTAGCATCTAAGCTCAGCAGGAGGTACAGATTGAAGCAGTGTCTTTGTGCTAAAATGCTAAAAAGTTTGTGAGAAAATATTGCTGAAAAAAAGGTTTTCTGTTTTCAATGAAACTGAATAAGTGCATTCACACCAACAAGCAAGGCAGCATGCAGCACATCGTGAGCAGAGATGGGCAGTAATCTGATTATGTTTTTCAAGTAACAAGTAAGGGATTACTATTGCAAAAAAGTAACTAGATCACTGTTACTTTCCTGTAAGCATGCTCCATTACTGCGTTACTAAACCACCATGATTTGATTTGTGAGTGTCTCATGACAATGACTTTTGAGTGTGCGACGTCCGTGGCAGCAACAGACGTGTGCAGATCAACAATGGATGGTATGGAGTGCAGGAGAGAGTACGACCATGAAGCGTTTAAAGCTTGGACGTTACTTTCTTTAAATTACTTTAAATTTGATTCTGTAAAAAGTGACAAAACCATTAGTGTTCGTTGTACACTCTGTGTGGGAAGAAAACTTCTTTCTACAGCGAAAAATTAAACTTCAAATCTGAGCAAGCACTCACCACGCTGCCACAGAATTGTGACATTCATAGAGTGACCGCTGGGGCAAAACTCCTGCTAAACAGGTGACAATAGATTTATGAGCTGCTGAATCTTTAATTTTATTCATTTTCTGCTGTGTTTTACTTGCATCTATTTGAAAGAGTGAGGGTAAACACAAAACATTATTTTATTTTATATGCTGGAATATGTAGGAAATAGGTTTAAATGTTAAACAAATTACTTCCTGTGAAAGACTGTTGCATATAATTAATTTTTGCTTGATGCAATGTAGATAAAGTTAAAAGATTAAAACTAATAAAACCATTTTTAAAAAAAGAGACTTTTTCCTTTCATTACATGTTATAGGATGGATTATGCAGAAAAATAGAAATGGGCTGAAAGGTTTATTGCTTTATTACGTATTCAGGTTGTGCATCATGTTTTTAAAAAGTGACTAAGTAATAAGGTAACCAATTACTTCGCTCATGGGCGATTCATTTGCAGTTTGGATGCATAGGTGTGAACATCTCCTGCCCTGATAGCAGCTGGGGGAGGACTATCCTCCGCCTGTGAGCGCTTTGGCACAGGCCCACGGCAGCACCCGCTGCTTGTTGAGAGTAAGAGCGATACGCGCTTTCACGTCAAAAAGTCATCATAAATAAGTCTCTAACTACAATTTGTCGCTAAAAATGGTAAATGGCCTGTATTTGTATAGCGCTTTACTCAGTCCCTAAATACCCCAAAGCACTTTACACTACATTCAGTCATCCACCCATTCACACACACATTCACACTGGTGATGGCAGCTACATTGTAGCCACAGCCACCCTGGGGCGCACTGACAGAGGTGAGGCTGCCGGAAACTGGCGCCACCGGGCCCTCTGACCTCCACCAGTAGGCAACGGGTGAAGCGTCTTGCCCAAGGACACAACGACCGAGACTGTCGGAGCCGGGGCTCGAACCGACAACCTTCTGATTACAACACGAACTGCCAACTCTTGAGCCATGATTGCCCCACGTCGCTAGTCGCTTTTTAGAAAAAAAGTCACTAAGGGGGTCTTAGGAACTTAGGAATTTGGGGATTATTATTAATATTTACTGTCTGTTATTTTTATTTTACCATCTCAGCAAAAGATTCAGAAGTAAACCCACAATTCAATAATAATAATAACAATAATAATGATAATCTTTAAAGTCTCTGAATCCTTGAGGCACTAAAATTAACTGATCAAATAAGAACATACACACCTGTCATGGACCCCCATCTCGTATTTCTTCTTTTAAGCTGAAAGCATCAAACATCACCGAGAGCAACACATAAGCACCACGTAGCTGTGGTTACCAAGAAGCAAGGACACCCTTTTCTAGACTTTAGGTAGTGTGTGTGCAGTGCTGGGTGAAATTAGCACTCTCTGATTTGGCAAATCACAGGAGGGAAACAATATTAATTAGGTTAGCAGTTAGCCTGGTTTTCACATCCCTGGAATCAAATGCAGCACTTTTCATCTGGCAATTCATGCAGTCTGGCTGTGCCCTTTTCTGAAATGCCTCTACACCCATACGCTGAATTTTTTGTGGCACATAACCTCGTTTTCGGGTCCCAAATTTCAGATGACCCCCCGCAGAGTTGTCGAGTTATTGTGTAATTTTCATAAATTCTATTTTCAGATCTCAGCCATATTAGCATAATAAGCTGAGCCATAAAATGAGAAACCTTCATTTTAGCTCCATTACTTGTACGGTATGACAAAGATTTACTTCAAGTTTCATAGAAAGTCTGAGGAAAAGAATACATTGACTATTAACATTAAAGTAAGTAACTGAGCTTTTTTTTTTTTTTTTTTTAAATCTAAAGCAGGGCTCAGATGAGTCAGTCTAAAAACTGGAAGCACAGACAATATAAAAGATGGATGTAGCCACCCTGATGTCACCCAGTGGCTTTTAGCCAGAAGTCACCTTATACTGATTAAAATGAGCAAACCTGGTTAACAAGGATTCATAAACTTTGCACATTAAGTGCACAGAGACACGTATCAGCTAAATGGTGCTAAGTAGCATGCTATTAATATGCTAAAACTTCACTTACCAAAACTGAAGCACAAATTTGTTGAATGCTCTGCATCTCTGTTTGTCAGACGCTTCCATTGAAACACTCCAAAACACACCAATAGCACAAACATGCTTGAGAGGTCTAATTAGCAGAGGGGAGCAAACAGCTTTCAGCTACAGCTGGCTGATCAACAAACCTGCCAGTCAAGCGCTCCAATCAAGTTTAAGCCTTAGAAAAATCCAGAAGAAGGGCGAGATTAAAAAACCCATTGTGTGCTATTTTTAAAGAGGCACCAAAACTAACCACACTAGGTAATAACTCTGCATATGTAACTTTGGGCTCCAGAAGGAACCAAGTCTGCAGCCAATCACAATGGCAATGTCCATCGTTTGTATAAAGCCTATGGGGTTGTGATGACAAAAATGATCATTTCTTTTATTTTTTACTCTCTTTTTATTTTCACTTTCATTCTCGGTCACGTTTAGGCTCTCACAACGTGTTTGTTATGGTTGGTATGAGATTGTCTTTCACGCCAGTAACCCTTTTCAGTGAAAAATGAGTAGTTACAGTTACGGCCTGATGCTCAAGGACATACTGAGACACACCAGCAGCCTGGACCGGCTGGCATTGTTTGACACTCCTCAGAACAGTGGTACCAGTCTACCCAACAACCCCCCCGATTAAAATAAACAAACAATAATTAAATAAATATCTCTGTCAAATAGAAGCTTTTAGCATGGCTAATTATATTTTACTCTATGTATCAGAACTGTGACTTTTAAATGAGTACAGATATGTTACTATAATGATCATAGTATATATATGTCTATATGTGCCCTATCTCCTTAATGACTGGGCCTATCTTAATGAAACACAGTCAAACATACAGTGAGTATTAACATGTATATGTTTTAAAAAACTGATTTCCTATAAATCCAAGGTCTTTTGATTTTCATATATATTATGTTCATTTCATGACTCCCCTGCCAGTGTGGTGTAAACTGTCTGTTTGCATTTCTTTTACATGCCTACATATGTTGCCTGTATGTAGCTTTTCAGTCATCAAACAGCCTGAAGGCTGAGCTTTCACCATTTTATCTAAAACATGCTGGATGTGTGGGTAGGTGTATTGTTACAGGCACAGATAAGGTGAAGAAAAACAGTCCAGGAAGGCTAGATTGGCTAATGGCTGCATGCGTAATCTATGAGTAGGTATCTAACGAGCTAAAGAGCTCGTCAGATTTATATGTGAAATTTAAGGCTCAAGCAGAATACAACATTGGTATTGTTAGTGTCAATGACTCTAAGGTGCTATCTCAAACTCTGAGTTAAAGTAGGCTGCACCAGATCGCAGTGCTCAAACACAGGGTGCTGCTTTTCCTCCAGGCTTAAGGAAATAAATCAGAGCTCTGTAGGTTTCTCTACAGTAGAAATCAAGGTCATACACTGTTTTTTAAATCTAGGACAGTTCGCCTCATGAGACAAGCTGCTCATCTACCTCATATTACTGGGGTGGCACCATGCAAGTCCACAAAATCAGCAGCACAAGTACAAATGTCACTGCACAGCTGGACAGGTTTACTGCAACGCCCACAACAAGGTGGTATAAATATTATTACCTGTTCTCATGTAAATCCTGGCATATCTGAGGACCCAGAGATCCATTGGAGGATCCTAGGCTCGGGGTTGTGTCCACTGCGGGATCAATACTGTTAACTGATGAATTTGTTACATGATCTCTTGAACAAGCCACCTACTATAGAAGCATGTGACAGCTGAGAAAGCTGCAGACCATTTTTCTTTCTTTTGTGTGCTTACTTTGTGCCCCTCCTGTTTCCTCTGAGACGCTTCAGCCTAGTTGCCCAGATTAAAGCTGGGCAAACACTGTGCGATTCAGCTCCTGCTCAAACTGTACGATTGACTCGCAGAGGTTAGAAGTTCGTAGGTCACGATGCAGGTCTCACACTATACGACCTTTCCAAAGTTCTACAAGTGCCTCCATCGCTTGTGTCCAGATCACACGCTGCACTGCCGCGCTACTCCGTCTTTTTCACCGACATTTATGTGTTTGCCCGTGCGCAGTGTGACAAGCTGCGGTGACACCCTCACGACGATGATGGTGTCACGGCCCGATTTTGGCCTTCATCGTGCGTCGTGCATCGTGTAGTATACGTGGGGTAACGAGAATCAATTAACACCTCACGACCAGCTCCCGATCATCAATTGCTTGGTCGGGAATCCTCACAACCAGTGTTGAAAACTTAGCGACTTTGTCGCTATATTTAGCGAGTTTTCAGACCCCTTAGCGACTTTTTTTTTCTAAAAAAATTACATTAGCATGATCTATTATGCAAATTAGGCGATGACATCATTTAGCGACTTCTAGCGATTTTTGGGACAGCCAATAGCGATTTTCCTTACTGAGGAGTTGGCAACACTGCTCACGACCACGTGATGCACGACGATGCACGATGAATGCCCAAATTGGGCCGATCGCCAAAACGGTTGCACGACTGAAAAATCGGCTCAAAATGGGCCAAAAATCGTACAGTGTATGCTCAGCTTAAGACTCTGTCTGCATGTTTCAGCTTGCATGCAACCAGTGGCGTAAAATGAATCTAAATATGTTAAAGTGTTAGACAGAGGAGGTGTTTTTAAACCATTCACTAAGTCTACTGCATCATAGTCTCTTAAAGATAAACCTGCACAGTGAACACGCGCGCAATACACATAAACCTCTTTGTAAACAAGTGATGGTCTCTGCTGGTGGTTCCCTCTGTCAGACGCTTCCCAGCAGGATACAGTCAGATTAGCAGCATCTCATTGATGGCTTGTGAACATCCTCGTTTCATCATGTTCACACAGTGGGAAGCTTCACATCCCACCTCAGCCCCATCCTCGCACAAAGTGAAGAGGGTTGTCACGTGCTACGGTGTTGCTGGCAGAAACCACACTCAGACCGGCACAAGTAACGCTTATCAGTGTAACCTATCACACGTTAGGTTTAAATTACATGTGCTGAGGACTTTTTTCTTTTCCTTCACTACGCCATTCACGGGTACAGGTCTGGTGATCGTTCAGGTCAGCCCATGTGATGGAGCACTCGCACTCACTCCGCTTCTTGATCAAATAGCCCTTACATAGCCTCGAGGTTAATTTTGGCTAAGGCTCAAGCTAAACCTTTGATGATATAAAAGTGAAGCTTAAGATTTCTTGAATGGCCACTGAGGATAACCCATACACTGTACATGGAGGATAGGTGTAGCTTGTCAAGGTGAAGGGATCTGAAAAGTGAAGCAAGCATAGGTATTTTTAAATATCTCAACCTTGTGAATTTTGTTAAGGCTTAAAGTTAGAACACGTTGACTGGCAGGTTTGTTGATCAGCCAGCTGTAGCTGAGAGCTGTTTGCTAGGCTTCCTACTGCTAATTGGACCTCTCATGGATGTTTGTGCTGTTGGTGCCTTTTGGAGCGTTTTAATGGAAGTAAGTGAAAACAATAAATATGTCTTGCTGAGAGATACAGACGGTCTTTGTCCTTTGAGTTTTGGTGAGAAACTTCTGGTATTTTCTCGTATATTATGGTTGTTATTAGCATGTTACTTAGCACCAGTTAGAACCCAGAGAGGATGGATGTAGCTTGCTATCTTGCACACCAGGTTCTGGACTAAACATGGCCACTTCTCGCTCCAAAAAGAAAACCAACAGGGAGGTTTCCAAAAGGTTAACACACACTTCAAAATGTGGATTGGAGAATAGGTGTCACGTTAGCTATGGCTATTATTTATATATCATACAGTTAGTATAGCTGTATTTAAAGCATGTTTAATGCTTTGAAGAAAGCACTGAAGTCTTTTTTTTTTAATAGTTGGTTGATATTTCCATTCTTCAGTTTTTTTAGCTTTTACTCAAAAACTTTGTGTATTTTTGTGTGTATTTCTTGTTAAATGGGTAAAACCATAATGGGTAAATTACCTAATATGGTCAAACACTGCTGCAGTGCAAATAATCAGGTATAACATATATAGGGTGTTATAATGTAATTTTATATAATCTATATTTTATGTAATGAAATGATATACCACCCATAAAAAATGTCACAATACTAGTAAATGGGTATATAACTACAATATTAATTTTAATAAATTCATTAATTTTTGATTATATAAACAGTAATATGGGTTTTCATGTTTAACTTAAAAATGTCCAGAAAATGTTATTACAATATACTAAAAACCATACACTGTAATTTACAGTTTGGCCTCTTGTAGACAGAAAACCTCTGTTTCAGTCCAGGTACAACTTCACAGCGAAGCAGAATGAAACAGTTACACGTTTCAGGTACCTGTTGTTACCTGAGTCGATACTTGCAGCCCATTCAGGTTGAACAAGCAGTTTCACTTCTCCAGGATGGTGCATTCATGGGTGCCATTGCAAGAAAGTTTGCTGTGTCTCACAGCACAGTATTAAGAGGTTCCAGGAGACAGGCTGTTACACATGGAGAGCTGCAAAAGCTTGTAGAAGGGCATGAATCACACCGCAGAACCAATATCTGCTGCTTAGTGTGAGGAGCTGCAAGACTCCTACAAAATGCATATAGACCAAATTGTCAGAAACAGACTCCATGCCATCACCTAACACCCTCTAGCGGGACCTGTGTTCACAGCCCAGCACTGCAACTCATTTGGTATTTCAGAGAATATCAAAACTGGAACCTGTTTGCGTCACAGATGAGAGCACAACTTTAGTTATAGGAGACCGATCGAACACCAAATGCCTGCTGGAAATCTCCTCCTCTGTTTCTCGCACGTATTACCTTAAGTTTTAAAAAAATAGTTTTGAAGTTTGTGTACACATTTACAAACCTTACAAACATATCCATCTTATATTTACATGCTTATTAAAACTGCATATGACCATTCATTTACACGGGAGCTGTCTTAAACTGTTCAACAGTTTCAAGCAGCTTTAATTCTGGACATTTAATCATTCATGGAATTGCTGTACTGTTGCAGCGCAGCTCGAGTGCAACCTTTAAGTAACAGGGCTGTTGAACACTGAGCTGTTCTGACTGCAAATAAACTGTGAATAGTTTAAAAA